CATCCATTAGCCCACCCACTCATTCTCCATCCTTGTCACTGGCAAAGGTCACCTATGCAGTCTGTCTTCATTTGAGTATTTAAGAAGAGGCCCCTGTTCCAAAATATTCCTCCCCATCTTTGAGATGCCTGTGCTTGAAATCCCGTCCTGTACTCCTGGGGGTCTTAAACAATTTGGTTCCTCATTTCTTCTGTGTTTATTCTTCCTTCTTGAAGTTTTCTTGCCCTTTCTCATGGCTTGTTCCTACCAGATTGCCTCTCGGTTTCTCTTTCCTCTTGTATCCTAAGATGTTGGGATTCCCCAGGTTTGCCTTTGACCCTCCACTCTTAGCCAAAATGGTCTCAATTCCCTGAAGACGCCATGATGCTCCTGCCTCTGAGCCCTTGAACATGCCATTCTCTCTGCCATGAATGCTCCTCCTCCCTGTTTTTTTTAAATTTTTTTTTATTATTAGTTGTTCAAAACATTACAAAGCTCTTGCCATATCATATTTCATACATTTGATTCAAGCGGATTATGGACTCCCATTTTTACCCCGTATACATATTGCAGATTCACATCGGTTACACATGCACTTTTTTACTGACCCGAGCTTCAGTGTATCTTCTGGACACAGGAAAGCACCTGGCTAAAAGCTGGCCCATGTTTTTAGAGTTGGGCAGACAAGGATTTAAGTCCAGTTTTACCACACACTACACATAACCTTGGGCAAATTACGTGTCCTCCTTGACCTCTACTTCTTCACTATGTAACGGTAAAGTCATATTGTATCCATTTTCTTTCAGAGCTTGGTATATATTATTCCAAGACCTCCTAGCTTTTAGGGTCTGAGTTGAGAAATCAACTGAGATCTGGATTTGTTTCTCTGTTGTTTTTCTCTGGCAGTCTTTAAAATTCTGCCCTTCTGTCTGTTAGGTATTTTCATAATAATGTGCCTTGGTATGGGTCTGTTGTAATTCTGTATATTTGGGGTCCTATAAGCATCCTGTATTTGATTTTCCATTTCTTTTTAATTTTTTTAGCTGTAGATGGACACAATATTTTATTTTTATTTATTTATTTATTTTTATGTAGTGCTGAGGATTGAACCCAGTGCTTTACATGTGCGAGGCAAGTGCTGTACCACTGAGCTACAACCCAGCCCTTATTTTCCTTTTCATTCTTAAAGTTTGGTTAATTTTCTGATATTATTTCATTTAAAAGATTGTGCACTCCTTTGGTTTGTGTCTCTGAACCTTCATTTAACTCAATAAATCATATTTGGTGTTTATATGTTATCCCATATTTCTTGGAATTCTGTTCATGGGCTCTTAACATCTTTTCTTCATGGTCAACTTTATTTTCAAGATTATATACTTTTTGTGGCTAAAACTCTGTCTTGCAAGTAGTCTAGTCTTCTGTTAACACTTTCCATTGAATTTTTAATTTGATTTATTGATTCCTTCATTTTGAGGATTTCTGCTTGATTTTTTTTTTCAGAATTTCTATCTCTTTATTGTAGTGATACTTCACTTCCTATATTTCACTTTCTGATTCCATCCTTTACCTCTCAGTTTAACTATGAATAATATAAACTCCTTCTCTGACATTTTTTTCCACTGTGGTATTGATGGATTCTGTTGTTGAAGTATTTTGCTTTGTTTGGGGCAATTTGTTCTCTTGCTTTTTCATGCTGTTTGTGAGTCCACACATCTAACAGTATGGATTTGAGGCAGCAGAGTTTCTACCCTGTGGACTTAGAGTGTCTCTGAAGGTTTCCATTACTCCACAGTTTAGCAAGGCACAAATAATAACAACAACCAATGCAAACAATATATAGCAATAAACCAAATAGTTCCTGCTATGACATCTACAATGTTAATTGTCACACTAAGCAGAAATGATGCGATCAGTTATTGTCTACATAAAAACAGTAAGTTTGCAAAAAAAAATTATAGGGTATATCCTCATAGGGTTAATAAAATGAATGAGTAACAAAGCACAATAAGAATAACAGAACAAAAACCATCATAAACAGTCTCCTAAAGGTATTTGCAATGCAACTTATGTATTCTCTCAACAAGTGGCCACCCCAAAATAATACCCTATAGGGATTTGCAAAAAGTTTCCAAAATTTTGAATGGTGAACAAGGAGGGAGCAGAAGTAATGTAGGATGTGATTATTATGAGGGAGGAGGAGAGAAAGTAGAAGTAAAAAATTAAAGGAAAAGTGAAGGAGCGAACAATAGAGTTTGGCTGTTAGCTGAAGAAAAGAGAGAAAGAGAATCAAGAGAAGCAGATGAGTGAGAGAAAAAATATAAATATTAAAAAATAAAAATAAAAGAATACAAAACAAAACTGAAATATACAAATCAAACATCCTAGTCCTCAAAATTCTGAACCATGAAAAATGACTGCCTATTAAAAATGCTAGAAATGAGAAAAAAAAGAAACAAATAGTTATAGGTGTCCATGAACCATTGAGGTCACAATTAAATAGAGAAAAGAAAAAAAAAAAAAAAGATCTCCATGAAAAGTTAAAGACTTGTTTCCACTGGAGTTCAGAAATTTCTCAGCTTCAGTTTTCAGCAGCACTAGGTGGGGTGGGCGGGAGTGTGATATCTGCTCTACCCTCAGGGTGGGGTCATTGGAGTGTGAGAGGAGATCCCATTGGCGGAGCTCCTAGATGCAGAGTTCAGGTTCTTCACTGAATGGTGATTGGTCTGAGGATTTTAAATCAGTGCACTTCCAGGGCCCAGCAGTCTCTGGTCTATGCTGTGAGATTGCACCCCAGGGTGCCCCCTGGGTTTCACTCATGCAGCAGAGGAGCCAATCCTGATCCTTAGTTCCCTCCAGACCCTGCATTTCCTGTCTCTCAGGTTCAGCCTTCAAACTCAATCGCTGCTGCCCTCCACACTTTCGAATTGCTGCTGGATGCATCTGTCCCAGCTGGTTCTGTGAGCCACTGGACACATGGGAAGCTGGAAGGGTTTCCACAACCTGCATTCCCCTGTGTAAACCCCTCTCCACATTTGATTTTCACTTGTTCACTTAGGTATTCTCCGTGTCATGTGTTTGTGGGTTTGCTGGGTCTGTATTTGGGGCCCATCTTGGATTTGCCAGGAGTTGGCTCCCCCAGCTGTCAGCCCCCCTTCCTGCAGCTGCAAAATGGCCCCTTTCCCTGTCCTCTGTGGGCAGCTGGGAGAGAGGCAGGGGCTTTCCTGCACTAGGCTTTTGTGCCATACGCCTTTCAGGTTGGTGCCGCAGTCTTTGATCTCTGATGTCTTCATACCCAGACAAGCCACAGCCCCCTAAAAATTCCCATTCCTCTAGCTCCCTTATCCTCCTTATGTTAATTGTCACACTAAGCAGAAGTGATGTGATCAGTTATATGGAGGGACGGCTCTGGCTTGTGCCTCCAGTGGCAGCAACAGGGCTGGTGCTGGGAATTTCTTCCTTATTTTATTATATCCAACCTCCTGAGACCCTGGTCTCCTTTGAATGTCCAGTATTAATTTCCAGTAAAGTCCTTCCTGTTTTTTTTCACCCACCTTGCTGAGAAGCTGCCTATCTGCGCTCTTGGTTTCATGTCAGAGAATTGAGGAAAACGACCTTCTCGATTCTGCCATCTTGAAACCCTGAAGTGATAATGTCTACCCCTTAGAATTGTTATGAGAAGGAGATGAGATAATCCACAAAAAGCTAGGCACGAAATGCTTATTACGATTATGATTATTTAGCCTTCCCAGTACCTCAGGCATACATCTATCTTAACATTAACATACAGCATTATGAACATTCATTGTTTCGTCTTAATTAGCACTATACCTGACACACCATGGTGCTTGGTAGCCACTTGTTGAAAGAACACATAAATTGCATTACTAATACCTTTAGGAGACTGTTTGTGGTGGTTTTTGTTCTATTATTCTTACTGGGCTTTGTTATTCATTCATTTTATTAGTACCCTATGAGGAATTTCTGTTCAACCCCATGTGTGAACAAAGCAAAATAAATTTGCTAAAATGATTAGATGTTTAGAATCAGAGAGCAAGGATGTCCAACCCAGAGAGACAATACAGCACAAGATAGGATGGTGAGATGGTGTCAAAGACAGACCTCACCTCTATGTGTCCCCAGGGAGGATGAAACTCTCCCCCAACACCCCTTCTTTTCTCCCTAATTCTAACAGAAGCTTCGGACATGTTGGTTAGGCATTGTGGGAAGGTTTGGGTCTATCCATGCACAAAAATACCTAACGTTGCCTCTTTCTCCTGAATGTCTCTCTCTGAGCAACTGAGCACTAAAACATCTCAAACATACATGTTTGGAAAATGGACTCCCTGGGAAAGTGGCCAGAGGCCAGGATAGCAGAACAAGCAAGGAGAAGATCATATGGGAAGGAAGAGACCTCAGGCTTATTGAAAATTGAAATGTTTTTAGAGGAAGAAAAATCAATATGGACTATGAATCTTTTAGTATGGACCGATGGCAAAGAGCATCACAATAGTTTCTTAAAGATTTAAAAATAAGTGCCCCTATATGTTAGTCGGTATTTCTTTAAAGGGGAAAAAACTCTCAAGTGCTATATTTCAAAAATATTTTAAAAGAGCAAAGTTGCTGCACATGGTCAAATCAAGGCCTGGTCACTCCCTTCAAGCTCTGCATGGTTTATCATCCACTCCAACAGCCTAGACTCCAGGTTCTCACTGAGATCAATTCTGGTACTAAAAGTAAATGTCCAGTCAGGTGTACAAAAATAACACCCACCTTCCTTCCTCACCCCTCCACATCTCCCCCAAATCCCAATGATCGCCCCAATAACACCTTCAGACCATGTATATTTTGAATTTTGCTATAAGAACGTCATTCCCTTCTCTGTTACCTTCCCACTGTTAATGACCCTCTAGGAAGACTCCATCCTCCAACACCTTGAATGCTAACTCCTGACAGACATCCACTGGAGATGAAGGAGAAGGAGTCTGATGGCGGAGGAAGGTTCCTTGACTGTATATATGTATTGGAGGTTGCTGGGGTCTGAACCCAGGGCCTTGAGCATGCTAGGCACATGCTCAACCACTGAGCTACACTCCCCCCCTAAGATCATATGTTTCTGGTTGAGAAATTAAAGCTTATAGCAGGTCCAGGAATCACTCATGATGTAGAAAGACAACCAAAACTCCCCTGTATTTATATTTTTTATGAGTGCCCAGTTTTGAACTTAAAGAGGCTGGAAATGAAAAGACAAACCACCTCCTCGCTTCTAGTAGAATCCCCTCCTCCTCTTGATGTCCAGAGCAGCTCATCTTTAAGACGCAGAGTCCAAGCACCATGTCCTCTGTGATTTGCCCTGTTACTCCCCAGCGCTGCTGTAGCCCCCTCCACACCTGCATTACGTCCTGTCCCCTCCCGACCGCAGTCTGCATGCAGGTGCTGGGCCTTTTCTCTCAGCCAATCTTTGTTACCTGCCCAATTGAATGAAAAAAATGGATATTCAAAGAAGGAAAGGAAAAAAAATGGCACATAGTAAGCCAATTTTGGACGGTACCAAGCAAGGCAAGCCAGCACTCATCCAAACTCCACCCTCTGGGAGAAGTCCTGGTAAAGTCTATTCTTCAGCCTTCACGGAGAGAATGGCCGTGCAGATTCTGGCCCAAACTGCGTGTCAGTTCTGGGTGGATCACAGTCCCAGCTCAAACTGTGACATGCCAAAGAGCTGAAAGCCACATTCAAGCACACAGTTGCAGCAACTTGGTTTAGATACAGTAAAAGCTGTATTTTCCAGAAATTTACCCCAGAAAAAATTCTAGGAAGAATCCGTTTCTGTTATTTTTAAATGCACTGTTTCATACAGAAGCAAATACATGTCAGTTACGGTGGAAAAAGACTTGTGTGGTAAGATCAAAGGCTGAATCACTCGGAGGTGGCTTTGACACCAGATGTTCTCCTTCCCCCAAATGTTTCCCCCTCTTTTCCATTTCCTAGAACTTGAAATACCCTCTCTTAGAAAGCCAGTTTTATGGGAGGTTATCATTACATTTCTAGGAATTGCTCAAATCAACTGAAGATCAATTAAATTAACTTTCTCAGATGCTAGGTATAAGGCACCATGACTCGCTTTGTAAGACACTGGTTCCAGGACAGCAGGTAAGTTTGGGTGAAATAAACCATATTAAAGGTCTCATCAATCCTTCCTTTACGTTACCATTGGGACCTCCTAGAATACAGACCTGATTATATCACACCTTCAAGCAGATCCTTTTTAGGATTCTTTATCTCTTACAGAATAAATATCAAATTCCTTAAAGTAAGGGATATTTAACCAGCTTATCCAAAAGAGACCTCATCTCAGCCCACCCTCCACTTAGACAGCAAATTCTCTCAAGCATTTTGCCAGGACAAGGGACCAGGAACCATACTGGTTGATTAGATGTCTCATCTTTAAAAATCTGAATTTGTAAAATCAGAGCAACAATAAAAAAGGATGATCTCAAACATTCTGAAAAAGGACTACGGCTGATCTCTAGTAGGTCACAACCGCTGAGCAGCACCTTAACCTTTTGGAGCCAGCCTGCTAGTCACGTGATCTCTGAGCTCACCATAGTGCTGGTAAGTCTGTCACCCACCCCCCTCCTTGCTTGGTGCCAGCAGCACCTGCATTCAGCAGTGGACACGGGGTGACCACTGGACCTGCTAGTTACACGGTCATTGTTCTTCACTGTCTTTCACTCAACATCATCTAGTTCCCTTCTAGACACCTACACATGTTCAGGTGAGATTCAGCACCCTCTTCTGTGTTGAAATACACCCATTTGTCGAGAACATGGGGCCTACTATCTTGTCTGAGGTTTCTCAGACCTCAGTTCCCAAAACAGTCCTTGTGCCTCCTCTGCAAGGAACTCATCCACTGCCATCAGTACATGTATGTGACCTCTTCTACCTTCATCATTCTTTTGTGGTGCTGGAGAGTAAATTCAGGGCCCTGTGCCTGCGAGGCAAGCACTCTACCAACCGAGGTATATCCCCAGCCCCCTTTTCATCATTCTTGATTCTGGACAAATCCCAGGAAGCACTGTGGAGCAGGTTCCGCCTCCCAGGGTCCCAGGATGATGGGCTTGGCTGAGACTTTATGACCCCCAGACCCTCTGGACTCTGAGCCTTTTGCCCTCCGCATTCTGTACTTCTCCATCATATTCACCCAATGTACAAAGAGTTCATCTCTGTTTGCCCTAAGCAGCCCAAAGCCACTTGAGGCAGAGACAGAGTCCGACTGGTTGGTTGCTATGTCCCTGGTGCCTAGTCCTGTGCTCAGCACAAATTTAAGGCTCCAGGGCTTGCTCCTCCACGCTCAGCCTGCCCCTCTGCACTGTCCTGCTCCCTCCTCTTCAGCTACTTGTGCTTCCTGCTGCTGGCCAGGTGACACTGGTGTCAACAAAGAGGCCTTTGGAACAAACATTGAGGACCACAATTGCAGACATACATTGTCCTCTCCTGAGTCTGATCAAATATCTGTCTGCACTGTCCAGCTGCTTAAAACACTACCTCAGTGCGATGTCATATGGGCTTCAAAATAACCCCCATAGGAGACAAAACCATTCTCCAGCTAGGAAATGATGCCACCTTGGGCACTGAATATCCTATGGACATGTTATTATTTTGTCCACTCAGGACTCGGGTGTGGCTGGAAGCCTATAGTACTCAACCTGAAAGCTTTGACCTGCAAGCACAGATTTTGCGCCTGTCTTGCACCTCTCTACTCTGCCTCCCCTTATGTACCTAGAGGGCCCCCAGGTACTCTGAATATTGACTTTCCTAGGGTATTACTCTGGTTTTACACCACACTAACATAGCATTTGATTCACTCAGTATTTAATGAAATCTTCATATCTACCCCCCCCCCCAGATTTCACATTCCTTTAAGAAGGTTCTTGAGCCATATTTGTCCTTGTATTTTTTTTTTCTCTCTCTCCTTGGCCCCTGTCCTCAGCACCTATCCCAGTCCTTGCATATATTAGATGCGCATATAAATGTTTGTTGTATGGCTCAGTGAATCAGCAGACAGGTAGCTACTGAGGAAGAATCATTTAAACAGAGATCCACAGAGGGTTCACAGGGAACCTCAGGAGGAGACACAGGCAAAGGGTGGGCAAGGGAGAGAAGAGTGAGCCGAGGAGATACTCCTTCTATTTGATAGCTGTGTCTGAATGTTGCTTTCATTCCTCTTGTTCCTGGGGATGAAAAGGAAGGAAGGAAACAGATTTGTGCCTTACAGGGCTTCTATAGAAATCGATACTGTCTGTTTACAGATTATTTCCTTTCCATTTTTGTATAGGTCTTACAAAGAGAAAAGGAAGGAGAGAGAGAGAGAGAGAGAGAGAGAGAGAGAGAGAGAGAGAGAGAGAGAAAACCCGAGACTCACAGGTGGGGAGAAGTCAATGGGAATTAACCAGATTTGTGGACAAGCTAATGCCACTCTGTTTTCCCGGTATCCTAGAGCGGGGTTTTTTTTACTCTACTCACCCGAGGCCACACATTTTTCTTTAGGCTGAATATTTAAAAGAACACGCTTGTCTGGCAAGGTAGCTATTTTTTGAGCCTCATGTTTGCATGCAGCCACGCTGTTCCAGTAGACAGAGTTTACCACCATTATGCAATAAGTCTTTCACTTCTTCAGAAACACGAAGTCTATTTTTACAATTCCCACTCCGGGCTGAATGTAAAAGTCCCACAAGGAGCGTGCAGAGAAAGTAAGGATCTGGGGACCAGCCACACTCCCTCTAAGGGCTCCACAAGGTGCTTCCCTCTTCATGATCTTGCAGGTGACGTGGGTGGCAGAAGGTTCTTGAACTTAGGCTTTGAGTTTTCCAATTAGAACATGATTTTGGTCTCCTTGAAGGCTTGAGTTTCTGTAAAGTAGCAGAAATAAAGGAACACATTTCACCCTCCTCTTCTTCTTTTTTGTTTTGTTTTGTTTTCCATGTTAACATCAAATTTGTCCTAAACCCCCCCCCCCCCGTTCCCCACTCCAGGGTGTAGCAGTTTTCCTCAATGAGAACCAGTTGATGACAGATTCAGAAACCAAGCCTACTTCTGGAAAATGGGCAAGAAACGCTGTTTCTGACATCAAGCGTATTTGTGACCGCGTCATGTTTCTTAGCCTTCCTGAGGAACAGGAAACCTGAAATTAAAACAACGCAGTGTGAGTCCTGTTGGGCCTTAGCCATCCTCTGATTTACTGGGGGACTTATGCCTTAATCTGTGCCTTATGGCTCTCCCTCTCTCTCTCCCCAGTATAAGGTGCTGCCTTTCAAGGTAGGTAGAGATCTGACATCAATTCTCCAGCACAATAATGTCCTTGGTCTTGTTGGCCTAGAAATGGGACATAGATATTAGAAGCAGAACTAAAACTTTGACCCTAAGCTCTCCTAAAACTCCATGGCACCTTCTCAAAAGGCATCCTAATCCTATTTGCCAAAGGGATAAGGTCTGGGGGAAGACGTAGGTTGCCCCTGAGGTTCAGAGTGACTGCGGCCTGTGTTGATATTTGGGTGTGCTCTCTCCTGCCCCTGTGCAGCAGGCTCGAGATGTTCTCGAGCATCCTAACACTCACTGCAGAAGGGGAGGTTGCATTACAAAATCTGCCTTGAGACTTCTGAAAATTCAGCTGTGTTTGTCACTTACCTGTCTCTTATCATTCTCTATACTCTTCTCCCTACATGATTCAGTCTTGGCAGGACCCAGTTCAGTATGTGCCACATAGGTAATTTTAAATTTTCTAGTAGCCACATTGAAAACGGTAAGGAAAAACGGGTTAAATGAATTTTAATCATATATAATATTTAATAATTAGTATATCTAAAAATCTATCATTGTGATCTATAATCAATGTAAACACGTCAATATGGTATTTTACATCTTTTTTTTTAATACTAAGCCTTTGAAATTCTCTAGGTATATTACCCTTATAACATATCTCAGTTTGCACGGGTCACCTAGCAAGAGTCAAACAGCTGCAGGAAGCAAGGGACAACCTCTTTGGCAACATAGATACACAAACCTGTCCATCACGGTGCAAAGCCGATTGGACAGCACGT